CAGCAAAGTAGAAGAACATGTCTGATTCAGGCAGCCCTGCAAGAGCGAGAAATGCGCTGCAGGCATAAAGATGGCTGGGCTTAGCCTGTGGTGAATATACAATATTAAAAATGGGCAGATGTCTCATAAAGATGATTACACCAGCACTCTTGACCTTTCTGCAGGAACAGAAATAAAAAGCAGGAGGAAAAACAATAAGCAGTTTTGATTTATCTTGAAAGCACTCTTCCTTTTTTAGGCATGAAGTCACTGTTGCTGTAGGGAGGTGAGGGGGTCACCGTCACTCTTCCACATCATGTCAGCATGCACTCACCAGCTGCCTGGGACTGAGCCTGTAGCAGGCTGACACAATCAGACCCCAGCCAGAGACACTTCTCTGGTACTGCACGTGGGAGATGGGTCACTGCTCCCTTGTCTGTTTGTTGTCTCATCCCTGTTTTGTTCAGCTGACTGGCAGAGATGGCCAGGACAGGAGGGATGACTGCTGCCTCTCTCCTCTCACTCACTGAGTCTGTGGAGGGCTGAGGCTCAGCATGATCTCTGTTGATCGTTAAGGGGTTGAAAGTACCCCTTACTACCTCTTGGCAGATTCAGGGCTACTTTTTGGATGCAGTGGTGTTCTCATGCAAAGAGCAATTAGCCTACAAGCAATACTACAATGGAAAGTAACAACCCTCATCAAAGTAATTCATGGCATTTCCAAAATCTAAGGTTTATAAAGCATAGCCATGAGCACTGAAGATAACATGAGGACATGTGACGTGAACTCCTTGAACGTTTCTATATTCTGTTGCAGACAGTACATATTGTTTTTATATCATATACACCTTAATGGTGATCCAGAAAACATGACTAAAAACTGCTTCATTATTGTTTTTTTTTTGGTTGGTTTTATTCTGTTTTAAGCAGCTGAGAACAATTTTGAGAGTGACCTACTCTAAGATTTACTAAAAAGAAAACAGATATTTCTTCATAATTTCACAGAAGTTTTACTTCCATTTTCCTCCCAGCATTTTTGTGTCTGGACATTCAGAGAAGCCCTCTGAAGCTGAGCTAATCCTTCCTGGTGTAATGCTATAACAGGACAGAAAGGACCACAATAAGAGCAGAATGACACAGCCTCTGGCTACAGCACATGAGAACAAGCCCAAACACAGCATAAGAAAAAATGAAGGAAAAGAGCTGCTTACCTTTAGAAGGCCTCAGGTAGGCAGGAATCTCCAGCAAGAGATACCCTTTACCTCCACTGCCAACACTTAAATGAGGTCTGGGAAGAGGTGGATTCTGGCTTCACCCCTTCCAGTCACTCAGCTGCATTGCATGCACTTGAGCTCCCCTGGGTTGGCCCTGCCTTCCCACCAGGTGCCCAATCACTGTTTCAGGCTGTGACTTAGCACTTCCACTACACCTGGTATGTTCATTGCTAGTTAGACCTCTACGCATACAAATGCTTGCTAACTTAGCATTGGAGTTGAAACTGCCCTAATGCTGAGACTTGCAGACAAATTTAGTCAAAGAAAGCAAGTGAGATTTTTCTGGTGCTTGAAGGGTTTGCAGGACGCCTTTACTCTCAGTGTACATTTTCATTAGTTTGTTATCTCAAAGTTGGTTTCAGCCACCCATAGTTGGTCTGAAATGGGTCTGTTGATTCATTGCGTTGATACTGTCTTTATTTAGTCTTTGGTGCTGTTTGGAATAAGGGAAAGCACTGTCCCTCTAAGAGTAAACCTAACTGAAATTTGTACTTCCTGATTTTTAAGGCCAGAGGAAAAAAGGCACTGTGCTCATGTGGGCTTCCCAGAGGCAGAGCGTTTTCTTGACTTGATTGTTGTTTTAAGTAAATCTCTGCAGCTGGATTTGGACTTCTTTTAGGAGAAATGAACAGTCTACCTTAAACTAAATTTTTCAGTGAAATGTTTCACCAGAGTTGATAGAGTATTGTAACAGATAATTACCCCTAATGACAATAATTATCCTATTTCTAATCTAAATAGGCTTATCTCCACTTGTAGTGAAGTACATTCCTGAATGATTTACAAACTGTATCAGTATCTATTCCTATATTTTGGGGGTAAAAAAGAGAGTTGCTAAAAAACAAATTATCTCAGTAGCATATACAGTTCTATTTTGAGGCATACCAGACCCCTGGCTTTTAGCTTAATTCATATGTTCCAAGCATACTGTATAGCTTTATAGTTTAATAGCCTCAACATCAAATGCTGTTCCAAAGTCTAAGGTTATCATTCCAACTGTAATACATGTATTTACCAAACCAGTACTCTCCTCAGAAAATATCTGGCTAGTTTGACATGATGTGTTTTCTTAAATCTTTGCTGTTTAGCATCAGCGACTTATTTTAATACTTTATTAATTGAATGAAATATTCAATATTTTAACAAGACTTCTGTCAGGATGACGGCCTGCAGTTGCTTTGCACTGGTTGCTTATCTTCAAAACATCACAACTTTCCAACTACTTTCTACCCAGTGGTTTGTTCAGGGTGCAGAACAGCACTTTAGGGCTTAGTAGAAAAAGAACATTTTCCACAGGTTGCTTTGCACTTTGAAAATCACTTTCTCTGTTCAGCTGATCCTGAGATCAATGAAGAGCAGACAGAAATTAGTCAAATCTGGAGGTGGTCATGCTCTGAGCAGCTGAAGCCAATCATGTGAGACCAGCACTGGATGGCAAAGAAGCAGATGTCAGCTCTTGGTAACCCCATAGTGATGATGCAGGGACTAGCTTCACATGGGGACATCCTCCTTTTCTGAAACAGTGCTGTGAATGACAGCAGTACATGGTTCATTGTTTCTTTATCAGACAAGGGAAAGGATATGATTTAGTTCTGGAACAATATACCTTTTCTGTTTTATATCAGATTTAGAAGAGAATGAATAAAGACGGAGGCCATCAGGGAGCAGTTCAGAGCCACGTGCTCCAGTGATGGAGACATCAGTGTCTTCCTAACGTTGACAGCCAAGTGTGGGCCTCTCCAAGGGGCACCTCTCTGTGCCTCACACCTGATATATGGGACATCCAGGTGGGCCAAGCTCTGGTTTCCCATACATTCAAGAGGATCAAAGCAGTTCTGCTTTTCCTCAGAGGGTAATTGTGAAAAGAAATGCATTAAAGATGAATATATGTCACAGTAATGAGGGCAGTATAAATGCATACTGAGGAAGTAAAAGCAACCACACAACCAAAAGCTTACTGGGAATAGTGGACATTTCTAAGGTTACTTAGCATTGCAGTAATAAGCATAGAAATATAACATAATTTTTAAAGCTGTACAAAATCACCAGCAACTAACAAACAGGCTTTGATGACTTCCAGAGTTGTTTCTCATGTTTTTCTCAGTGCCTGGTCTGGACCAGTGAGGAAAGGAATGGAGCTGGGTGAATTAAGGGTCATCTCTCCTTGGCAATTCTTATTTCCTGTCTTTAATAGCTACATTTAAGCTGTCAGGAGTTATTTTCACTATTCTGTTCCAAATGTATCTGTTTATTCTCTGTGTAAAAATACTGTGAAAAAACACCAAGGAGCACGTGCTACTCAAGCAGGTAACAGGTGTTGCTTTAGGCCCTTTCTTTGCCATCTGTTACTCTTATTTATTGTGCTGAAGAGCAACCCAACCTGGTCTCACGATCTTGGTTTACTCTACGACTAGATTGGTTGATCCTTGGAGGAAGAATAGGAACTAAGTGCAAAGGACCCTACCAGTCCTATTCTGTATGATTGTATGATATGCATATAAGTTTCATTTGATTTCAGTGGAACCATTTCTGTTTCTTGGGGCAATATCAGGAGGGTAGAGTTGGCCCTGAGTATGTACGCCCCTGAGTGCCAGCATTTTATTATCTTTGAAATGCTCTCTGTTCTGGAATGTTAAAAAGATAACAATATTTAAATTGTTCATAATTCCATCCCCCCAGTGGAAACTAACTCTGCAGCATCATAGTAAGAAAGTGAAAATTTAGTTGCTGAAATGGTTAGGAAGTAGACTGTCAGAAGTGGAACCAGGAGCCATTAGTTCTACAACTTACTTGATTTCTCAGCTTTCTTTTGCTATATTTGATTATTTCCTCTACTTAACCAAAAATGCAGATTTAGTCATTCCCATTAACTGAATCATTATTGAACTTCCTTTAGAAGGACCCAACATCTCATGATAGTTATGTGGTTTAGTACACTGAGGAAAGGGTCTCTTCCCCCTTTGCAGTAACCAGTGTTGCTCATGGCACTGTCTACTGCTCACCATTCTTCAAGAAACAGGTGTCCCAGAAAGTATGGGAAAAGGAATTTGGCCCTGGAGAAAAAGATTCGAGCTAAGTGCCACCAGTAGTACTTCTCATTCAAAATTGCTTGTCTTGAGTAGCATTAAATACACAATTCTAGCCTTAAACTGAACAAGAAAAATGTAACAACAATTGCTTGTTTTCATGAGTTAGCATTTCTTAATGTAAACATTTTTTAACTACTGGGATGCATAATAGGGAAGAAGTTTGACAGCCAAAGTCCTCTAAGAGCAATTAATAAATGCAGTAAAATAGGCTTTTTTAAAACCTATTCCCCTTCCTTTCTCCAAGGTTACAATGATAGCAGCTGCAATACTGATTGGTACACACTGCTACTGCTCCCTTATAAACCTCCCCTAATGTGATTTGAAAGCCTGTCCTTATCAGCATGACGTCTGCTGCTGATGTACAGACGATGACAATCTTGGAGGAGGGGAGAGATTTCCTGCATGTAGCAGAGTTGTGCCTTTCTCCTCCATGCTGAACACTGTGGATACACAAGAACTTGGTCATCTGGAATCCATAACAGAAATATCTAGTACCAAACAGGGGGATTCAGGGAGGAAAAATATAAATTGTCCCAAATGTGAGGCAGCCTCTTTGTATGAATCTGTGGCCCTGGCATTGTGCTATTGCATGAGTAACTAAAATGGATCTGACTTATGCAAGAGAATTCATGTGTTTTTTTCATACTCTTTATTACAGCTCCCAAGTCTACTTTCTGCCCCACTGAAGAGACCTGGTGGCCAGGCCTGGTTATTATCATTGCAGTATGCTGTGCCACACTAGTGTTCCTCTTTGTAGTTGTCATCATTTGCTACAAAGCCATAAAAAGGTAAGGCTACAGATGCTTTTAATGTGCTTAGAGCAATGTAATCCTACAAAAGCTGATCCAAGACTTGGCTTGGTTTTCTTCAAATGCATCCTAAGGGCAAAATGCAGACTGAGGTACTCTATGGTCAGTGTGTGTTTTTATTGGAAAATTACTTAATGTACCTTGTCCTGTCTGTGTAAAGGATGAAGTTCAATGCACTTGAGGAGAGGAAAAGTTAGAAATGGGACAAAGACACAATGTTTCCCTAAAGTTAAAATGCTGCAGGATGCTGAATAATGTCAGTAAGTTTTCAATTCAAAATGTGGGATGTGAGATTTTTGGCCCAGACCCATTGCTAAGTGCAATATTTCAAATTGATACAAGCTCTTCTAACCTAAGCCCTAGGGTAATTTGTGTAATTTTTCATTTGGAGACTCAACTTCTGACTTACTCTTGATTATTCTTTTTTTTTTCTTTTTCTTTTTTTCAAAATCAGAACTTACTTCTTCTAATTTAAAAGCTCATGTGAAGCCTATGTACAGTGCTGTGTGTAGTAACCATCTCAGCTCCTCTGCCACTGGCTTTGTGATAGATGTGTTTATTGAGAGTCCAGGCAGCTAGATAGCTTTAACATCAGTTACACAGAAAAATGGGATGGGAGATCAACTCTTTAAAAAAGAATTTCAACTTTCCAGTGGAAAAAAAGTCAAAACTCAAAAGCTTCTATATGAAAGCACTGACTGTGAGTCCAATAGGTGGATTTAGAAAAGAAACTGTATTCCCACAATGGATGGAGTTTCTTTGAGGACACCTCACAGTTGGGTTTTCATTGTGTCATTATTTCATACTGTAGGTGTCTCAGGCAGGAACTGTACTGCAGCTGGGCCACTTGGTTCACCATAGAGAATACAATATTCGTAACTCTCATGAGATGCTGCAGTGTCATCTGAATCACAGTTTAGAAAAGCGATGTTTTTCCAGCTTTGGAATGTTTGATGGATCTTTCTGAGATGAAAAAAAACAAAACAAAACAAAACAAAACAAAGCAAAACAAAAAGCAGGAAAAGAAAATAATTTTCATGGAAAAGTTATTTGTGTGCAAGGCAACTGCAAGACTTTTGATGAGCCCCAGCAGGGATATCACAATGGTAGAGCATTGCTTGTACTTTCTGGTTGTCTGAAAAATTTATGCAGGATTTGGAGGATGGTATATCCTAGAGTATCAAAAAGGGAGAATTCAAACAAGAAAACAGAAATCTGTATCTACTACCTTATTAAATTGACATAAGTATCTTTGCTATTCTAGTATAGCTTAAATGAATGGTTATTAGTTTTAAGGAGCTAGAAAGCTTCCACTCTGTCTACTGCACTTTAAAAAAAAATCATCCATGGAGGACTGAAACCAGAGTCCAATTGGATGGGTACACAGCAAAATTTCTTGCTTGTTGTTCGTAATCTGCTTTGGTCTGTTCACAGGGGACAGGTCCAACTCCCTATGGAAAGTTGTATTTTTTTCAACAGCAGCTATTGCATTTGTCTGCTTAATGTCAAATTATGAATGATTTCTGTCAAGGCAGCAAAATATGCCGATGGAAGCAGTAACTCTCCAGGACAACGTGAGCTTAGCAAAAAAAAAATGCTCTTCTGATCTGCTCTCTGCTGCTGGTAGATGGGAAATACAGAAAAGAAATTTAATCAGACAAATTTAGAGCTGCCTGGAAAAGGCTATGGGAGTTCACATAACCAACTCTCTTGTGTCTCATGTCAGTGAAGGGTAATGCAGATGCTTGATGAAGACACCAGTTATTTGTCAGTGGTGAGAATATTAACATACAAGTCTGCAGCTTGAACTGGCATTAGGCTCAGAGAAAAGTGAAAATTCCTCTTTTATCTTATTATTGACATTCACAGTGTTGACAAATGCTTAGCTGAAAACTGCTCAGCTGTGGGATGGATGGCTATAAAGAAAAATCTTATTAATTATATTTTTTACAGAGTAAGTAGAGCATTGCTTTTCATCAATGAGTCCTTTCTGAAACAACTGTTAAACAGATGCCTTGAAGTGCCTGGAAGCATCCCTCAGTAGCTCAGGTTCCTTGATCTATTGTAAAGGATATCTATCGATAAGCCCTGAGAAATAAGATAAGACACTACACAAGGGAAGCATCTCTGCCTTCAACACAGAGTATTATCACATATTGTTGAGCTGAATTGGTTTTAGCTAGTGTGAGAAATCCTTCACTCTATTTTTTGCTGGGAGGTAGAGCTCGCTAAGGAGGGAGAAAGGATATTAATCTGAGTGACACTGAAGCTGAGTCGCTCCAGTGTGCTCCATCGTGCTCTGTAGCCATGCTTTGCCCCATCCTTTCTTACACCTCCATCACACCAGTTCTCACATCCAGTCCCCCCAAACCCTCATTTCTTTCCATCTCCTGGAAGTGCGATGTTTGTCCTTGCAGTCTCTCTGACAGACATGGAGGCTCACCTCCAGGGCAGCATGTTGTCTGATTGCTTATCATAGTCTCATCTTCTTCAAATGTGATCCCCTTCAGACGCTCCTCCTTCAACTGTATCTAGGTTGGAGTATAGACATGACATGGCATAACCCTTTTTGTCCAAGGAGGGGCCCACGCACTTTCTCTCTATGTAGAAACAAGAAACCAGTCAGAAGATCCCACCCTTGCCCATGCTGAATCTTTCTTAGCTCAGGATGAGGATGATATTGTGGTCACCACTGAACAGCATCCCCTCCTTCTTTGTGCCACATCAGGCGTGTCTGCAGGTTACAAAGTTGGCAAAGCTTCATTTTGCTGCCACCATTTAGCTGATCGTTGAGGGGGCAGCAAGGGGGACCAGGAGAGTGGCAAAGCTTGCTAGGAAGGAGCTATTTACAATGCCCATCATGAGCTGACTCTTGAGACCCTCTCCTGCTTAGTTTCCTCACTCTGAGACAGATACCTAACCATTTGCCTACATCTCACAGGTGTCAGCTAGGTTCAACACCTGCTGTCTGACTATCAGTGTAAACACAGAAGTGGCAAGGATTATTATCCAAATACATGCTCTATAAAACCTTGTGTGTCACCTTCCAGAATTCTTAGACAGGAATTTTCTACCTCTTCCTGGAAAAGCTGGGGGAGGTCCACATCTTCACGTTTGGAAACTCTCACTCTGATGAGAGCTTGGGGTGCAGAAGAAACTGAAAGCACCAGTAAGCATGAAAACTGGTTTGCCAGCAAGCAGCAGATGGTTCAAAATCTTTTTTGGAGCTTACAGGAACTACATTTAAAATTCTCACAAGCCCTTCAGCTAAAAAAGAAATAAACTGAAATAATAACACCAAGAAGATACCGAACACGAGCTGCTTGTAAAGTACATCTACCCATGGGCAAAACTTATACTATCAGCCAATCTGAATTAAACTACAGTAAACATATATGGTGTGTATCTCCCAGTGACAAATCCTTAAGTATTATGGATTATGTATTGCAAAGAGCATAACCGGACTAACTTGATAGCTTGATTCCGTATTTCTCTGCTTAATAGCCTTCCAAATGAAGTGGGATTTATTGCCTGGCCATCAACAATATCTATATCCTACTTAGCCTAGAGCGCGAGGCTCATCTTAATTAGCAGTATAAGCACTAAAGAGATGCCGAAGAATGAAATAATTACAAGTATCTGATTGTAGGGTATAGCAAGTGTTTAATGTCTTAGCAGAAGAGTACAGGCAGAGATTTATTTGCACAGAGCTTGATGCTGTTGTACTAATCCTTCACTTTCATAAGAATCAAATTTAAGTGGAAAGAAAAAGTAGAAAAATGCTATTGCACTTAAGTTAAAATCTCCATTTTCAAAGGGCCAGACTCAATCCAACTCTCTTGTATCTGCTTTTCTGCTACAAGAAGACAGGGAGTACCTGTCCTTAAAGTATCATAAGTCACTCTATTTTTATTTGCTCTGTATAAAATATTTCACCTGAGTTTTCAGTAAGCTAGAGTTTGGCTTATCAAAAATTTTTTTGGCACTAAGCCATTTTTGTCATGAAATACAACCTAGTGAATTGCTGCTTATTTGTATGAAATAACTACTGAAACCAAGCCAGCCTGCTGTTATCTCCATCCCCACATCTCTCTGGAAATACTGAATTCTCTCATATGAAATGCTCATAAGAAATGCTGAAATCCACTCCTGTGTTTTCTGGTGCACGAGGGAACTAATACCAAAATATTTAAATCAGCTTTAATTCTCAGAGCACTGCCAGACATATTAAGCTCTTGGGAAGATACCTATGGGGCAGTTTCTAGATTTCTGCATGTGATACTGGGGTCTGCAGCTGCACGGATGAGCTTTATCAATCATTTGAAGAGACTATGTTGTGCTACAGTGTGGTTGTACACTTGATGACAGCAACCCCAGTTTTTCAGTAGAGGAACAGCTATTCTCTTTGGTCACAATGACAGAAGGATATTTCCTCTTTAAAAAAAAAAAAAAAAAATCTGAATTTTCTCTTAAGAAACTTTCACAAAGAATATTAGAAAAGAATCTAAGGATTGACTGGATGTGTTTCACTGTGTTCAGACAGCCATCAGTGTCTGTGACACCTTTTGTTTGCAGATTTCTAGAACAGGCATAACCACAAGGAACTCAGACTCATTCAGGTAGTGGGAATTCTCATTTCAGAGGGTAAAGATAGCACTCTTGAAGTCAGGGATTTCTGTAACACTTTGCATATCTGAATAAGTAATCAAATATCTAGTTCCAAATCTGGACTACCTGCAGGTATTTCTCTAGCATTTATCCCTCTAAAAACCTGATGCCCTTTCCCTTTCCCTGGAGCATACTCACCAAGAAGTAAAACCAGGAAGTCCAAGGACAATTAGCACAGGCTGGAGGAAGCAAGGCCATCTCGGTATTATATGGTTTGTGGACTGGACTTGGGCAATGCACTATGAATGCAAGCAGCTCTATTAAATCTTAATCTGGCTTAAATCAGTGCAGCTTCAAAAAACAATCAGTGG